GTCAGCAAACTCATTAGTCAACAGAGCCAAATATCAATAGTACAACGATTGAAATTTCTTTTGAGAGCCAAATTTTTTAAACTTAAACTATATAGGTAGGTACATTGTTATTAACTTAATCAGGATACTCCTAAGGCTTAGGGAGAGCCACACTCAAGGGGCCAAAGAGCCGCATGTGGCTCGCGAGCCACTGTTTGCCGACCACTGTCCTACTCAAACTAAGTAGACCAGTTTTGCTGTTACCACAAAGTTAGAGAAGCACAAGTTTGGGCACCAATCACCTCAGCTCCTTGTGTTCTACTTAAACCACCTTATCAGTTCAAGTATACTTAAATTCTGCAACAGTTCCTGAGCATAACTCCTCCTTGAGCAGACTTAAACCATTACTATCTTACTATTTTGTATCTGAGGACATTGCTACCCAGCTTGACAAGGGTAGAAAAATAAGGAACTATATCCACCCTGCAAAATATCTAACATTGAAAGACAGTCACAAATCATAGTGTTTCATACAAAGTTGTGGATTTGCAAAAACAAACAAACAAACAAACAAAAAAACAAACTATAGGTTTTTCGTTTCTCTATTTTCTACTCAGGTCGCTACTGTGCGCAGAAGCAGACTTAACTGGCATAAATCAGAAAATGATAATGGGAACTGAATGAAATCCTCATAAATCACGTTACTAAGTATAGTTACATCTTAGATGTGAAACCCAATTAAACAGATGGCCACATGCTGTCAGAATCAGGCCCTAATCAATAAAGATGTTCATTTCAGAAAATCACCTCAATTTTTCATTTCTTCAGTGAAGCAAAAAGAAGGCAATTGGGGCTGGGGTGTCCCAGGAAACCCAGTGGGGAAATGTATAAGAAGGTACTCCACCTGTCTTAATTTGTAGTCCAGAAAAATCAGAAAGGAGAGAGAAAAAAATCGCCCAAAGGATTCCTTGTCATCTTGCCTGGGAATGTAATTTACAATGAGAGCAAACACTGGTCATTAGGAAAATAGGAACAGCTGAATCTCTTAATTAAAATACCACTTCAAATTGTTCATTCCAAACCCCCTCTGCTCATGAGCTTTCCAGAAACCACTGGGTTACCCTAAAATGGTTGCTTCTTCAGTAAACCTCTGATAGGATCGGTTCTTCCCAGACAAGAAAAAGGCTGAGCAGGGTGAATCTTGGAGACAGAATTATTATGAGACTTACTTAAATCTTCAAAGGAGCAGTAAAAGCATTCACTGACATTGGAAAGTGAGTATGGAAACATTAGTGAATAGTCTATCTCAATGCCTTTTCTTGCATAATGGCTGATCTATTACATTCACTATATTGGTAAAAATTAAGTCTACCAATGCTAAGAAGTGGTTAAAATGATAGTTGATGAAAACACTTCTGTAGTCTGGAACACTCACTTTGGAAAACATTTGGTGTTATCTAGTAAAGTTGAGTATTTACATACCCTACAAGCCAGTAATTCCATCCCTAGTATAGACTCCAAACACTTTTTTAGGGGACTTGTATGAGAATATACTGAGCAGTGCTGTTCATAATAGCAAAAATATAGGGGGAAACACATAGGTCTCTCAACAGAAAAGATCTGTAAAACAAATAATCTGGGGTACAGTCACACAATGGAATATTATATGGCAGTGAAAATGAAATAAACTACTGCCACATGCTACATGGATGAATCTTAAAAACATACTAATTGAAAAAACACAATTGCTTAAGATTGCATATCAGTCTTAATATGCTACAACATAAACAAAAATAAATATATTGTTTAGGGATACTTAAATGATTTAAAATTTATTTTAAAAAAAACAAGAAAATGATAAACACACAAATCAGAATAATGGTTACCTCTATGGTGTGGGAGAGGAATAGGATGGGGAGGAGCATGGACAGATGCAATAATATTGGGAATGTTCCAGTTCTTGGTTGGGTGGTGGATTCACAGGCATATATTTATCATATGTTTTCTTATATCCTTTATAACTTCGTATGTTCTAGCATGTTCCATATATTATTTAGCATGTACCAAATATTATATAAAACATTTTCTTTTAAAGTGGATAATCTACAGAACTTTCTATTGCCCAATAGGTTATTTCAAGTAATATTATAATTCATATTATATAAATATAATTCATATTATTATAATGTTTATAATTGATAGCCCTAATATCATAAATTTCCATATGCAGCCTAGTTTTCAACTTGGAGCTATATTAAAACATCATGTTGTACATTTTAAATTCAGACAATTTTTATTTGTCAATTATATCTCCATAAAGCTGGGGGGACGAAAGCAATGGTATTTTCATGATAACAGTGAATACTTGTACAGTAAGGAGTGACATTCAAAATATTTAACTGATTTGATTACATAAACTGATGTAAAAATCCAAAATTACCACCATCTGCTTGTTTTCCTTCTGTTCACTACCCTCCCAGACCAGTTCTGCAGAGACTGCCATTCCCAAGTGTGGCCACATGAGGACAACTCTAAGGAGATGTGCCCGCTGGGAGCAGGAGACCACAGCCTCAGGGCTGTCTGTCCTCTGTGGCCAGGGAGTCCTGTCCAGATGAGGGCCAGCATGAAGGGTGTACTGTGAGCATGCAGGATGCCTCACTGAGAAGGTAGCATTTGAGCAAATATTTGAAGGAATTGGGAGTGTGAACCATACAGAGCACTTAGGGAAGTTTTCCTACTCAAAGAGAGCCCAGAGTAAAAATGCCAGGAGGGAAGGGTCTCATGCTTTAGGAACAGAAAGGAGGCCAATGTTGCTGGAACAGATAGGGAAAAAGGCAGCCTGGAAAGAGGCCCCTGGCCATTGCAAGTAGCTTGGCTCTTAATCTGAATAAGTGAGGAAGCTGATAACGGGTTCTGAGCAAAGGAGGAAAATGAGGTGATTGTAAAACATCTTAAAATACTGCAATATTATATTTAGAATAGATTGAAGGGGGATAAGGACAGAAGCAGGGATGCCAGAGAGGAGGTGATTATAGGTATGGGGGCATGCTCAAGGGTGGCTAGTCTTTATAAATTCCATCCCCCACAGTCAATAAACAGCATAGAGAGATGCTTAAAACCATGAGATTAGATGTTATTGCCAAGCAAGGGAGGGAAGATGGATACCAGAAGAGGTGTAGGAGGGGGGCAGGGGTATGAGAAACGTGTAAGGGCTCAAGCAGAAGAGGACCACCTTCTCCATAACAGGTAACCACCAACCTGAACTCACCATTTGTCATTCTCATGAATGTCAAATAGAATTGTCCTGCATGCTTCTGAACCTCATTTATATAGCAACATACTCAATATATTTTTCCAAGTTGTTTTTTCCACCACACAATAGAATATCTATGAGGCTCATCCATGTTAACACATGTCACTCTAGGTCAGTGATGGCGAACCTATGACACGCGTGTCAGAGGTGACACGTGAACTCATTTTTTTGGTTGATTTTTCTTTGTTAAATGGCATTTAAATATATAAAATAAATATCCAAAATATAAATCTTTGTTTTACTATGGTTGCAAAGATCAAAAAATTTCTATATGTGACACGGCACCAGAGTTAAGTTAGGGTTTTTCAAAATGCTGACACGCCGAGCTCAAAAGGTTCGCCATCACTGACTTCTCTAGGTCACTCATTGTTCACTGCTATGTGGCATTCCTTTGTGTAAACATGCCACATTTAATTCATTTTCCTGTGGAGGGACACATAGCTTATTCCCCTTTTCCTGCTATTATAAACAATACTGTTATGAGCATTCTCACATGGGGCTTACTATATGAGACTTCTTTAGGGCAGTAGTTCTCAAACTATGTTAGAGTCACCAAGAGAGCTTAATAAAAGAGATTTCTGAGCCCTGTGTCCAGGGTTTGTGAACAATAGGTCTACGGTGCATTTTAACAAGTTCCCCCATGATGTTCTTGCTGTTGTCCCAGGACCACATTTTGAGAATCACAGCACTAGGTCACATGCCAAGAGCGCAAATGATGGTCAGAGAGATGCATGCACAACTTTGTCTTTCTATGTTGCCAAATTGCTCTGCAAAGTGAGTGAACCAATTTCTACTTTCACCAGCAGTGACTGTCTGTCCTGGGTGCCAACACTTGGTGCTGTCAGATTTTTAATTTGTGCCAATCTGATCTTTAATAATTTTTAAACTCATCATGGCATTTATAATTACATATATCCACAGCATGTAAATAAAAGAAACTCAAGCCTTTGCATCCTAGGGTTAATCAGAACATTTCCAAACTTTTCTTATTCTATATAATAAAAGGCTAATATGCAAATAGACCGAACAGTGGAACGACCGGTACTATGATGTGCACTGACCACCAGGGGGCAGACACTCAATGCAGGTGGTGCCCCCTGGTGGTCAGTGCGTTCGCACAGGGGGAGCGCTGCTCAGCCAGAAGCCCTGAGCCGGGCTCATGGCTGGTGAGTGCAGCGGTGGTGGTGGGAGCCTCTCCCACCTCCGAGGCAGCTCTAAGGATGTCCGAGGGCTCCTATACTGCGAGCGGGAGCAGGCCGGGCTGAGGTACCCCCGCTATGTGCACAATTTTGTGTACCGGGCCTCTACTATATAGATAGTCCCCTCAGGTTCTATAATCTACTCAGTGTTATCTGCTTGTTTTTCTGCTCAATCCTAAAAATAAACAAAATGGTATAGACAAAATCAGTAAGACCATTCTGAGAGAAAAGTGGAAGCTTGTTTCTTTTCATGGCTAACTTCATTGTATTTTTATTTATTGTAGTTGGGAGTTTTTCACTCAATGGTGATATAAAGCTTTAAAGAACTTGAAAGGTGAAAGGAGTGAGGAAAATTGGGCATATGGGTATGGAAATAAATTTCTTTCACCAAAATACCTGGTCACTTTTGGGGCAAAACTAAAAAAATGCCCTACCCTTAATCATAGTCCTGGAAAAGTTCCTTCCATTTTGTACCAGATTAACAAGGAAAAGAGAAGCAGAGTACTCACGGATTTGGTTGGTAGATGCACTATAGAAAGCATTGACAGTCGTTGGATTTGTAAACCACCTGTAGCAAGAGAAACAAATATCACCAAGTGATCATCATTATCCAGGCAGGAGAGCAGCAAGAACAAACGCAATGTTAACCAGGGAACAATGGGGATATGAGGCAAGTGGGGAAATTATCGCTTCAATTTAGGGCTATTGTTCTGCTCAATAAACAATCTCATCCTAAACTGAACATGGTTCAATGAGAATATATTAACATGCCTGTTTATTCGCTGTTGCTAACTACAGAGAAAGTCAGCACCAGTGCTTCTGAAACAGTTTAATGAGAAATCCTAGACTCTAACGGGCTCTCCTTGCAGATGGAAACATGGCAACAAGCTGATGTTTGCCAGGCCCTGTTTAATGGGCCCACGGGACAGCTGAGTTACTATGCGGCGTAACCTCTGACCTTTCCTCATTAAAAAAAAAATGGAATAGTGTTAACACAGGGGTCCATGTAAAGAAAGATTAATAAAGTACAACCATGCTACCCAGAGTATCTGCCTAGTCTGGTGGAAAGTTTACTGATTTAACCACCAAAAGATCGACTGACTCGTTCTGCCACTATCACCAACTAGCTAGGCTGTGGTGGAAGAGTCGCCTACTTTCTGAGGTTCAGCTTTAGCTATGAAATTAAGGTTGCATTAGAAGATCTTGGGAGTACCTTCCAGCTATGAAGAATTTACACCCCACTTAAATTAGAACTCTGGAAAAAAAAAATTTTCTGTGAAGAGTCAGATGGTAAACATGTAGGTATTTTGCAGACAAAGAGGCAAAATCAAGGATGTTATATAGATACTGCTATAGTGAGAAATTTTTCCACAAATCTTTAATGAAATTCAAAACATAATAATCATGTACAATTTTTGGTAATACAGGACTATTAAAAAGAATGGAATTCTTTTGGTGCAGGACAACATTTTGCCTAATTGGGGTTCAAAGTTTGTGCTTTGTATCATCAAATCAACTACAAACATTTCTCTCTAAGAATTTCTCATGAGCCATACAAAAACAGGCAGCAGGCAAGATTTAGCCACAAGCCATAGTTTGCCACCCTTGACTCAGATGGCTGTGAGTTTTAGCCAATCCCCTTTATGATTAAAACAAAGCAATTTGTTTGAAGCTAAATTGCTTAATATAAATTCCTTTTCAGAACAATCATTTTACTAATTTATGTTTAATAGAATAATTATGTATGTGAGTAATCTGAAACTAGTAGGAAATCTAAGTGATGATTCTTGTTGGCCCACCCATACCTTTTCCCCATCTATAAGGAAGTCCATGTATATGTCATTCTATTATTATTATTATTATTATTATTATTATTATTAACTAATATTCATTGAGCAATTACTATGTCCTCAGCACTTCCTATTGATAGGTTTTTCCCCATAGCAACTATAACAATTATTAGCTCATTACACAAATGAAGACAATGAAATTTACAAGCATTATATGCTTGTACAAAGTCTGGTCAGTCTGAACTTCAAACCAGTTCTCTTAAGTATTATAGTATACTGGAGATATTATTGGATATCAAGAAAGAGAGTTTCCCTTCTCTTGTCAAAATTGAAACCTATACTCTCTTCCATAAGTGTATATTCTTTTCATTCAACTTTAAGATTCGTATTTCAAAAGGTCTTAATGATTAACACAAAGTTACTGACTGGACTATTTTCCTGAGGAAATAAGTGGATATAAAAGCACCTTTATTTGTTGCTATCTATAGTAGGTAGAATTATGACTCCCAAAAAGATATCTACATACTAATCCCTGGATCCTGTGAATATGTTACATCACATGGCAAAGAGGACTGCAGAGTAATTAAGTTTAAGGACCTAAAAATAGGGAGGTTATCCTGGATTTTCCGTGTGTTCCCATTTGAATCACATGGGCTCTTAAGAGCATTAATGCCGGGAGCCAGTCCATCCTTGCTGTTTCAAAGGACCTGGCATATATGGCATACTGTTCTTAATATGTTTGCTCACCTTCTTGGCACTATGTGTTTTAACCAAGGTCTCCTCTCTGAGAAAGGTTGCTTCCCCAGGTAGGGATTTTCCCCTGAAGTTAGGGAGGGAATAAAACCCCTCAACTAAGTGCCAGGTGGGTAATTAATCACTTTAACTACGAACAATCATGCTTAAGCTACATAATCTTTACTCCCTGGAATAGAGATAAGAAACGCCCTAACCTTTGTAATAGAGATTGATAGGACTGAATCAACTGGTATAAATACAGATGTAACAAGACAACAGGAGACAGAACTTAGAAGAGAGGCACAGAACTTAGACACAGAACCTACACAGAACCTAGAGACAGAAGAACTTCGCTGGAGAGAACATGGCAAAAGATCCTGGACAGAAACTGGCCACAGAACCTAGAGACAGAACCTAGCGAGAGAACATGGCTGAAGATCTTAGAGACAGAACCTGGCTACAGAACCTGGATAGAACATGGCAAGAGAACCTGACTAGAATCTGGTGACCGAACCTGGCTGGAGAACCTGGACAGAACCTGGCTGGAGAACCTAGCGAGGGAACATGGCTACAGAACCTGGCTGGAGAACCTAGAACTGGAGAACCTAGCAAGGGAACATGGACACAGAACTTGGCTGGAGATCCTAACCAGAACTTCGCTGGAGATCCTGAACAGAACTTGGCTGGAGATCCTGGCTAGGCTGCTGATCAACTGAAAGCTGTCTCTGTGTCATTCCTTCTTCGCCGACTCCGTCCACACCTTTGGGGACCCCTGGACCTGCTGGGGTTGGACCCCAGCACATTAAACCTTCTCTAACTGGAATCTGAGAGCTACAACACAGAAGAGGAGAAAGTCAGAAGAGATGCTACACAACCAGAAGTCCAGAGAATCCAAGAGTGAAAAGGATTCCACACACTGTTTCTGGCTCTGAGATGCAGGGGCCATGTGCAAGAGAGATATCGAGTGAAGAGTGGCTCCCAGCTAACCGTCACGAAGGAAGGAGGGACCTTAGTTCTACAACCACAAGAAACGGGATTCTGCCAACACTTGATGAGCTTGGAAGAGGCTTCTTCCCAGAGCCTCCTGCTAAGGGCCTGCCCAGCTGACACCTTAATTTCAGCCTTGCAAAACCTGGAGCTGAGAAACCAGCCAAGCCAATCCACCCTTCTAACCTGCAGAACTGTGAAATAATACATTTGTGATTTTGAGTTGCTACAGTTGTGGTAATGTATTACAGCAGTAACATAAAAATAATACACTACCCAAAGACCCAAGCATTTGTATGTCTGCTTTTTGGGTCAAGAGAGGGAGAATCCAGGTGTATCTCAACTTGTCTTTTAAATAACATTGGACTGAACTATAATATATTCAAAAGATTAAGTGTATTCCTAGAGCTCACCCCTTCTCTTCCCATTCCTCCCAACTCCTCTCGCTTTTGCAAAGAATAAACTTTCAGAATATTAGGGTAAGAGCCATGCAAGGAAAATGTTTCTAACTGATGATGGATCAAGATGGACAAAACAGCCCTAACTGGTTTGGCTCAGTGGATAGAGCATCGGCCTGTGGACTCAAGGGTCCCAGGTTCGATTCCGGTCAAGGGCATGTACCTTGGTTGCGGGCACATACCCAGTAGGGAGTGTGCAGGAAGCAGCTGATTGATGTTTCTCTCTCATCAATGTTTCTGACTCTCTATCCCTCTCCCTTTCTCTCTGTAAAAAATCAATGAAATATATTTTTTAAAAGAAAATCTTAAAAAAAGAAAAGATTGACAAAACAAAGAAATCAAACAACCACATGGGTGCTCTGAAGCTTCAGCAAGCATACCTAAAAATCTTATTTCAGATACATGACTTCAGTTTTCCTGACCTCCCAGAGCTCCTGCTGATTCTAGGGCATGTTTAGAGCCTTGATTATAGTCAGAGCTCATATCAGTTGTGGATGCTATATTTCTTACTAGAGGCCCGGTGCACAAATTCGTGCACAGGTGGTTCAGGCCACCCGCCCCAATAGGGGCCGATCAGAGCCGGGCTGGCGGGTGTGGGGGAGAAGGGGATGTGGGAGGTTGGCCGGCCAGTCCCAACCCTGATCAGGATGGGGGGAGCTGATCAGGGGTGGGGCTGGCTGGGGGGAGGGGCCACGGGAGGTTGAGGGGAGCTGACTGGGGCCCCAATCAGGCCGGTTGGTCACCGCAATGTGCATCATAGTGACTGGTCATTCGGTAGCTTGGCTTTTATATATATAGATTGGTCAGTGCCCATGCTGTTAAATATTTTCTATATCACCCTTATTACATCCAAGTTTATTATATATTTAGTTTTATTATTCTCTAATATAAGGCTACCTGTGCTAGTTCTGATCTGTAATTTTTTTTACACTCCTCCTATTAGGAGGTGAAATCTAAGCTCCTCTCCTCTTGATTATGGGTTAGCCTTGGTGACTCACTTCTAAAACATACACTGCAGTGGACAATGACACCATGTGACTTCCAATGCTAGGCAGTTAAAGATGATACAACCCCTCTCCCCCATCAGGTGACCACATGTGCTGCCCTCCCTCACTCTCTCCTTCTTAGGAAACTTGCTCTTTGAAGTTTCTTGCTCAATCAGCATGCTATAAAGAAGCCCAGTACTCACAGAGAGCTGCAGCAGGCATTCCAGCCAACAGCCTGCATCAACCACTAGATCCAAGAGAGGAAGTCTTTCATGTGACTCCAGTCTCAGTCACTATCTGACTGTGACTTACATGAAAGACCATGAGCAAGAACCACCCAGCTGGACCTAATGACCTCCAGAGCCACAAGAGAGAATAAACAGTTACTGTTGTTTTAACCCTCTAAACTTTAGGGTGGCTTGTTATACAACATTAGATCATTGAAATACTGAAAAGTTGGCTGTCCAGAGACTAAGTGCTACCTAATAGGTTGAATTTTTCCATAAAAACGTTTCATTTGTCCAACACGGTGGTTTTAAAAGGTACTAAACTGGAATCCCTTAAAATGAGATGTATGATCACTAGTGCTCCATAGTACACTCCATTCCCTAC